AAAAATTGAAGGGGGTCTGAATACTTTCTGTACCCACTGTATGTAGTAAGGTTTCACAAAATAAAGCAGAGCAAATAAAGAGTAAAGATATTAATAAACACAGTATTCTTCCACAAAACAATGTAGCTCCTCAGAAACAGTTGTGGTTGCTACAAAGTGATTGCCGAGCAACACACAGAAGTAAACAAAGGTGTGCGTTTGTGGAGTATTTTACAACAGCTTCGAACGCGGCTCAGCCAATCAGAATCAAGCACCGGAACTCTCAGCTTTATAATTCATATTTTAGCCATACATGTATATATTTACTAATGTATTTATTAAATTAGTAATCACTGCATTTATTTACCGTTCTGCAGTTTAGTTCCAGCCCTGATCAAACACACCGGCTCGTAATGTTCTAGTAATTCAGAAGATCTAGAAAAATGTGTTTTAGGATTCCTACATTTTTAGGGGGAAAGCCCCGGAAGAACACAATATTATCTGTTACGACACTGCCGTTCACACATTCTGGATATATATATATATATATAAATGAATGAATTCAACACACCTGAAGCAGCTGATCAAGCTCTTCAGACCCACTAGAAGCTTCCAGGAGAGCGTGCTGGAGCTGAACTGCAGGAGCCTAGACTTGCCAAGTCTCTCCGAGCTCAAAATACATTGTCAATTTTATTCACTGGTAAGATCCTTAGATCCCGGCACTGCAGCACCCAAAAAACCAAACCATAAATATATGCTTATAAAACAGTTCAATATTTACTGCTAAATATTTTTCACAGAGTAAAACTTGAAAAAAAGGTGACAAAAACAACAAAACACATACAGGAAATGGACAGTAAGGCCAACATCCGAACTCCACATAATGAACTGTATAAACAATTTGTAACATTTTTTTTTTTGCTTAAATAATTTGAAAATGGCAAACCATTCCTGTAGTTCATTATCACGTGTTTGCCCTTACCTGCTGACAACTCACATATATTTTTACTTCTGAATGATGATTATGTACAGCACAAACAATGTTAAAACTGTCTAAACAAACTGACATTTCTAGACAAATTCTGGACTGTCAATATTCTACATGAAGAGACCACCAAACAACAACAACATTGTGATTGAACTCTGAATTTCTCTTCAGATTCACTGTTTCGGATGTTAATTTGACTTCACTGTTGCAGAAATGGAGACAGTTTTGATTCTAGCGCCAGCGAATGATGCCACAATGCATGATGGTACATTTATGGCGTGTTTTTGCCATATACATCATATAGAATAATGTACGAAACAGCAAGTGCAGTGAATTAACAGTAATATTGAGTAGAAGTGATGGCTTCTGGGCAGCTGTTGTGTCTTGTGAGCTGTTAGCAGATAAGCTAATAAAACTAGACAACACACCGTCCTTCTATTCTAACAAGTCACGGCTGGCTTTCACATTAAACCACTGTTCTCTTAATCCAAAAAGCAAGAACTACACAAACTTTCAGTTTCAACAAATTAGAAAAAATCCAGCCCTGTCACGAGGGCCGATAAGTTAAAGCATTACAAAGGCTTCATATGGGCACGACGCTCTTGTGTGCTTCTCTCTCTCTCTCTCTCTCTCTCTCACACACGCTGACAAGTTTTGGCACTAATACCGCCATCACATTTCTCACGAACTGCAAAACTCTGCAGCGGTTGGCGTACAGCAAGACATTCAAATCCACATGTTTGTGTTGGCGATCCCAAAAGAGGGAGCTATAAAAAGAGCCCATCACGGAATGACACGTAAATAAACTCCATAAATGCACACAGTTAAGCCCTTCTGGAACAAAAACACTTGACGGACAATTAGACTTTATGAGGAATATGAACTGATGCTGAAGTACTCACAGGCCCAATTCATGTCGGATATGGAGAACCTTCGAAATGATTTCAACTAACAATGGTCAAATACACTTTCTGACAAAACACACCCAACTGCCATTCTAACACATTTTTCACATCATAATAGTAGATGAAATACAATAATCATTACAGAAGTGGTTCTCTCAAAAATTACGGCTCTCTTATTTACTCACCCTCCTGCCTTTCCAGACTCCTGCTGTTATTATTATTATTTTAAGCATTAAGGATTTTCTGTTTTATCAAGCATTTTTAAGTATCCTTACACCACAGCACAATTTGGATGATGGTCCTTTTTTGGAGCTTGACAGACATTTGAACTGGTGTATGGGACAGAGTTACCATATATGCCGACTCTTTCAGAAATTCTACTCTGTTTCACACACACACTCACTCTCTCACAAACTCACACACACACTCACTCTCACTCACTCACAAACTCACACACACACTCACTCTCACTCACTCACAAACTCACACACACACTCACTCTCACTCACTCACAAACTCACGCACGCACTCACTCACTAATACACACACACACTCACTCACTCACTCACTAACACACTCACACACTCACTCTCACTCACTCACAAACTCACGCACGCACTCACTCACTAATACACTCACACACACTATCACTCACTCACGCACACACTCACACACTCACTCTCACTCACAAACTCACACACTCACACACACACTCACTCACTCACTAACACACTCACACACACACTCACTCTCTCACAAACTCACACACACACTCACTCTCACTCACTCACAAACTCACGCACGCACTCACTCACTAATACACTCACACACACTATCACTCACTCACGCACACTCACACACTCACTCTCACTCACAAACTCACACACTCACACACACACTCACTCACTCACTAACACACTCACACACACTATCACTCACTCACGCACACAAACTCACGCACGCACGCACTCACACACTCACTCTCACACTCACTAACGCACTCACTCACTAATACACTCACTCACTCACACACTAACACACTCACTCACTCACACACACACACACAACACACACACACTAACACGCACGCTACACACACACACACACACTCACTAACACACTCACACACACAAACTCACACTCACGCACTCTCACTCACACTCACACACTCACTCACTAACACACTCACACACACACACACACAAACTCACGCATGCATGCACTCACTCACTCACTCTCACTCACTAACGCACTCACTCACTAATACACTCACTCACTCACACACTCACTCTCTCACACACACACACACACACTCACGCATGCATGCACTCACTCACTCACTCTCACTCACTCACGCACTCACTCACTCATACACTCACTCACTCACACACTCACTCTCTCACACACACACACACACACTCACGCATGCATGCACTCACTCACTCACTCTCACTCACTCACGCACTCACTCACTCATACACTCACTCACTCACACACTCACACACTCACTCACACACACACACACACACTAACTCACGCACACACTCACTCTCACAAACTCACGCACGCACTCACTCACTAATACACTCACACACACTATCACTCACTCACGCACACTCACACACTCACTCTCACTCACAAACTCACACACTCACACACACACTCACTCACTCACTAACACACTCACACACACACACACACAAACTCACGCATGCATGCACTCACTCACTCACTCTCACTCACTAACGCACTCACTCACTAATACACTCACTCACTCACACAAGAAC